CTAGCTTGAGAAATGCTGAGCGTGTTCTTCCTTTTTGGTTTTCTGACTCCAGATCTTTGCACATTTTGTTGTAATATTTGACATTGTCTTCTCGAGCTGATCTTTGAAAATTTCTGTTCAGCTTTTGTATCTCTTCATTTATCCCATTTGCTTTAACATCTCTATGCTGGAGAGCAAGTTTCAGTGTCTCTGTCTCTTCTGACATCAATTTTGATATTTTCCTTCTTTCTTGTCTTCTCAATGACTTTTTGCTTTCTTCATGTGTGATCTTGATGTCATCCAACAATTCTTCTGGTCTTCAGTCTTTAGTATTTTATGTAACAAATCTATTCTTCAGATGATCTCTAAATTCAGGTGGGAAATAGTCAAGGTCATATTTTGGCTCTGTGAACTTGTTTTCATTTTCTTCAGCTTCAGTTTGAGTTTGCATATGAGCAATTGATGTTCTGTTCCACAATTTGCCCCTGGCCTTGTTTTGACTGATGATATGGAGCTTTTCCATCATCTCTTTGCACAGATGTAGTCAATTTGATTTCTGTGTATTCCATCAGGTGAGGTTCATGTTCATGTGTATAATGGTTGCTTATGTGTCGAAGAAGGTATTTGAAATGAACAAATCATTTATGTTGCAGAATTCTGTCATGCGATCTTCAGCATCATTTTTATCACTAAGGCCATATTTTCCAACTATTGATCCTTCCTCTTCATTACCACCCTTTGCATTCCAATCACCAGTAATGATCAATATATCTTGATTGCATATTTGATCAATTTCAGATTGAAGAAGTTGGTAGAATTCTTCTAGTTCATCCTCACTGGCTTTAGTGGTTGGTTTGTAATTTGAATAATAGTGATATTAACTGGTCTTCCCTGTAGGCACATGGATATTATCCTATCACAGACAGCATTGTACCTCATGACTGATCTGGATATGTTCTTTTTGACAGTGAATGCAGCACCATTCATCTTCAATTTGTCATTTCTGGCATAGTAAACCATGTGATTGTCAGATTCAAAATGGCCAACACCAGTCCATTTCAGCTCACTAATGCCTGAGATATCAATGTTTATGATTCTATTTCATTTTTGACAATTTCCAAGTAACCTATATTCATACTTTGTACATTCCATGTTCAGATTATTAATTGATGTTTTACCTGTTTCTCTTCATTTTGAGTTGTGCCCCATCAGCAAATTAAGGTCCTGCAGACTTTACTCCCACCAGCTTTCCTCCATTTGTGTCATCACAGTCAACTCTACTTTAAGGAGGCAGCTCTTCCCCAGTTGCATTTTGAGTGCCTTCCAACCTGAGGGGCTCATTTTCTGGCACTATATCTGACAGTGTGTCTCTGTTATTCATAAGGTTTTCAGTGACTAAATATTTGGAAGTAGTTTGTTACACTTCTTCCTAGTCTGTCTGTCTGGAAGCTCATCTGAAACCTGTCCATCATTGGTGACCCTGCACTCGTCTGTCAGTTTGTCATACTGTGGTGTCTTGTGAGGTACTGTGATTCTGGAAGCTATGCCATGGGTATTTTAAATACCAGCAGGACCACCCATGCATATGTAAATATATTATGAAGTGGAACCATGGTGCGGCACTGTGGGTTAACGCGCCAGACTGCAAAACCATTTGAACTACAAGGTTGCCATTTCAAGCTCACCAGCCACTCCCCGGAAACCTCAGAGAGGGTTGTTATGGGTCGGAACTGACTCGATGGCACTTAATAAGAACAATATATATATTGCAGTTCAAACGGTTTTTCAGTCTGGCACATTAATCCACAGTGCCACACTAGGACTCCTCTCTCTC